TTGTATATGTGGGTTTTTAAGGTTTTACCTTATTAACTTAAATCAATCATACTTTTCAAATACAAATGTTTTTCTTTATATTATTAATGTACAGTAGCAATAATATTAACTCTTGTATTAATTGTCTTAATTAATAAACTTATTTTAATTTAATACTTTTTCTTTGCTTTTTTTAAATATCTTTTCAATTGCTCAAGTACTTACGTATCCAGAACCGTATTCACAACAAAAAGGGGTCCTAACTTAATTTATTTAAACTAGACGATCACGTGTTTTGGCCAAAGGTAGTTTTTTGTGGTTTTAATATTCTTTTTCTTATTAATGTGTGCCCCCCATGTCCCGTTCGTTACAAAGCCATAAAATGAGCATGATTGTGTTTTATTTAAAAAATTCCTGTCAATAAGTAAGTATGATACCTTGAAAAAGAACTGTAGTTAGTATGTAGGTTTTTAGTTAAACATTTCACAACGGGACGATTACAACTACAATAATTATTACAATTACAATTATTTGGCCAATTAAATTAAACCTTATTTTATTATTATATTTTTTGTATTACCCTTTTTCATTAAATGATGAGGCAGGGGTCCCCACCTTACAACACTATTAATTATTAATATTATTAAATAAAACCAAAAAATAAACGTCACGACACAAGAAATGCTTTTTATTGCTCAAGAAACTGTTTTCGGTTAGGTACTCAATATTGTCTTTCTCATTGGTCAGTGACTGGTTGTATTTCTAATTTTCTAAGAAAACCGGATCACGTGGCCAATTCTGAGATGATACTTTCAGAAATTGTTTACTTTTGTATTTTTCTTCAATAATATTATTCTCTTACTAACAAAATTTTTTATAGTAAGATGGTTTTCATGAGCCAAATTTTTGAATCTAGGTTTTTTACCAATATATCTCTAGTTTTTGTAAAGACTTTTTTCCCGCTTTTTTATCTTGTTGTAGTTTCAAGGTCAGCACTACTCATGCTGCTTGAAAATACATCTTAACTTTGCTTGTGGAAAACATTTGTCTTCAACATTCTTTATTTTAGTCATAAAACAAATCTTCTGAACATAACCTCAAGCAAACTTTTTTGCTTTGACGATAAAGGTGCTTCGTAATAGATAAATATCGAGTTTTTTAGTTTTCTTCTATTTGATGCGTAGGTACCCTGGCACGCTTCCAAATAGTCAAAACTGCTTCACATGACTGTTTGTATTTTACTGGCAAAGTCTTTCCCTCTTCTAAATGATAAAATTGAACAACTTAAAGATTATTTAATCCACGAAGCCAGTTAGTTGAAGCAAATCTCGTCGACATTCTGATACGTTAACACGACTACTCAATGAGTAAAGGATGAACACAAATTAACGTAAACATAGACCACAGATAAAATATACTCTTTTCTTTAGACCTTATATAGACATTACAATACAGGGATTTCAAATAATAGTCTTAATTTAAATTGCTATTAACATTAGACATAATTAGTATATAATATTCTACATGCAGAAATACTATTAAGCTAAGGGAAAACTAAATCTCAACATTTTACTTTATTTTTTTATGTTTAATACATGTTCGTTAAACAACAATCTAGAGTCAAATGTTCCCGAGTTTGATTTAATAAAATTTGTTAACGTGCATGAATATATTTAATAACGTCATAAAATAACACAAAATGTGAATAAGCACGCCTTAAATTGTTAGATTTCCACTTATCAATCATGGTGACAACCACAGAAAATACGGTGACGACTGAATAGGTACTTGTTTATTAAAGGTAAGCTGGACTGGAAGATTTAAGGGGATTTAAATTATGTTCATAATACTTAAATTTATTGTATTTTATTTATTTATAAAAAGTGACCTAGGTACTATGTAAGTTATGTTTTTTATTTCAAAACGGTTGAAGGTAAATACTTTTTAAAGTGGTTAAATCTGCTTTTTGCTAGATTTCAAAACTGCCAAAATAAGATAATTGAGAGACTCATAATAATTATAGGTCTCTAATTATTATCCTCGCAAAACACACCCTGTAATGTATTTTTTTTGTATAGGTCTGTTAGAACAGAAAAAATACAAATATTGTATTAATTTCTAAAAATTAGACGAAATTAGAGTTAAACTCAATTATTTGTTTTCAAATGACAAAGTTGGGGTGAGGAGTATAGTACATAATATCTAAGATTACCAATGTATTAGTTTTTATTATTAAATTGTTTTATAACCTTATTATACAGGGTATTATAAAAAACACAATTCTGAGATATTAATCAATAAGTCGATTGAAACAAAAAATTGTATATTTATATTTCATGAATTTTGGTCAATTTTGAATTTTTATTTTAATTAAATGTAATTAAAAAAATAGTAAAATTAAAGTTAGGTATCTGTCACTTTCAGTAGAATTGAGGTTGGGATTCTAAAACTTTCAGTAGAATTGATGTTAGGTATCTGTCGCTGATGGATTAAGTACAGGTAAGAGTAAGAAGTGCTGCCAAAGTCTTCAATGTAATTGGCTGGAGTAAGGGGAGTAGCAACCGTCGTTATCGTTATAGATGACTTTTATCTTTTCTTGCTGCTACTCCTACTTCAGTCAATCACATTGCAGACACTTAGATTGGTACTTATGTGAGTCATTTTTAAAGTTAAATAGCTGTCAATTTAGCTTGTGTTTTTTATGCATAAAAATAATATTATTTCTATGATTTTTATTAGTTTATTTGGGTTTTTTTTTAAGTTAATTATGCCAGAAGTTTTATTATCCCTACTACTACCGCTACTCCCAGAACTAAATTGTAGGAATTAGGTACCGCCACTACTACTCTTACTTCTACTCTTACTCCTACTCCGACTTTTTAGAAATTTAAATTTAGCTTGGAAGAATTATTGAGGTTATTTTATCATGCACTAAAGAATATATACACACAGGATAGTCAACTTCCTATAATTGGCCAGGTAGAAAAAAGTTCAGTAAAGACTTCGATTTGTGGGCGTGGTTTAGGCCCACTTGATTTTTGATTGACCAAGTACAATTAATTTAAACTTTGTGGTAAAAGGAACGCGGCTATTGAAAAAAGGCAGCGACCATAACCGGAAATCTATAAAGCACACTTTTTCAAGTTGACTATCCTGTCTCAAGTAACCTTGTATTTACTACACTATCTTTTTACCATGACTTTATGCTGCATTGTCAGATTGCATTTAAATTGTTTGTTTTTTTTGTTGAAAATTTGAAACGACTTACTGATTGATATCCAAAGTTTTTTTTATTACATACTGTATTAAACGTTTTTTTTTTTGGCCGGCGGAAAAATTATTTACGAACACTCGGTTCCTCTTGGGGCCCCGAGTAGTGTGGGACTCCGTCTATTGACGTATACCCACTAAAACTCCCCCGTTAGGTGGTTAAAGCCATGCACTGCGATTTGCTTTCGCAATCCTATTGTGCCCTAAATGGTATTACTTCCATAGCTCTAGCTCCGTTGCTTCTATGAAGCGCAGTAGCCGAGGCAGTGGGAACAATTTTAAAAGTTCTGGTGTGAGTTTAGACTCTCCCAGGTGTGTTCTTCTTAAGGTGTTGAAGATGTGTTTCCTCTTCTTCTTCGCATCCTCTACACAAAGGGTCATCTGTCATCCCCATTATGTGAAGGTGTTTGTTTGAATGGAGCATGGCCTGTGAGAAGGCCTAAGGTATTAAACCTAAGAAAAATAAAATAAACAGAAAGAAACAAAATTATAGAATTAAATGTGATAAACAATAAATTATACCTAGTAAACATTAAAATGCTAATAATATTATAATATTGTATTCTTAATAGGATGCAAAAGTACAAAAAAAAGTCGAGAAAAAGTTTTATAAATAAGTTAGCCTATTCTGGAGTCGTCTTCATAACGTCGGAGGCGAGCCATAAAAATTAAATTGAGAAAGAAAACTACAAACTTTTTACCTGTACTAATTTTTACCCAGCAACAAAAGTTATCTGTTCCATTTTATTCCTGATCAATGTTCTTTTTAAAATATAAAACAATAATGGAAGAAAATGCAATTTGTTTTAAACTGGCAAACGGAATAATTTATTTCATAATTATGTTAATGTTTTCTGTTTGGTTATCCTACTAGCTGTTACCCGCGACTTTGTTCGCATGAAATTAGTACTTTATATTAGCTATAATAAAGGGTCAAGGACAAGGGTAAAATCTAAAAGTTAAAAAGTTGACCCCGTTGCCCCACCGTGAAAGAGGAACAAAGTCGGACAGACTTTCGAAATTATAATATGTATACACATATTTCATATTTTCCATAATGTAAAAAAATATTTTTTATTTATTTTAATATATCTTGCCTACTATTTCGCCGATTGCATTTTTTTACGATTAAATTATCTATCTTACTTTTTTCAACATTTTCCCTCTAGATGATCGGTTGAGTAGATATTAAAGAAGTTATTGCCAAATGTGTTTTGTAATAACTTTTTAATTTTTACAAAAAAAATTGCTTATACCAAATTACAGCCACTACTTTTTTTAGACCCTTTATATTGGATCTTATAGCCTTAACAAATTTTAGTAAAAATAAAGGGTCTCGGGAGGTCTGATTTTTTTAAATTAATTATGATATTTTTATGGCAAATAGAAAATACATTATAAGCCAAATGACCTCATCGGCTTTTCTAAAAAAAGCATTCTTTAATAAATAAAAGGGTTGTGAAATTAACAAGTCTTTAACATATTTTATCGCTTAAGTTTGATTCGCATCATGGGGAAGTATCACGTTTTACGGCAAATGAAAGATCAATCGCAAAACACCTGACACGAAAAATACCAACAAGCAATCCGTAATTCTGCTTCACGTGCTTTCCATCCCCACTACTGCGGTGCTTGCGCCGCTCGAGCAGCCCCACGTTGTCGGCTCTATAAAAGCTCGCGTAAATACGAACTCCACAGTTTTCACTGCTCCTTCCTGACTAAAGCCTTTACAAGGATAAACACAGTCTACAAATTGTTAGTGCAATGAATTCAGTGATGACAAGAAATGAAAATACATTAATCATAATGTCCGTTAACGGTGACAGCAGAAGCACTTCGCCAGTGTCTCCAACTCCTTCGAGGGAAATCCGGGGCCTACGTTTGTTTAGAGCCATCAGTCGAAAGTTGACCAGGCGCTCGCATGAAGATTTTAACTTCCAAGTGGATGCCGACAGCAGAAGTTCAAGTTCTGACTCGTGCTCTTCCACGTCTGCAGGACATTGTTCAAGACTGACAAAATCGAAAAACTGCTCATCAGAGTTTGAATCCATGTCTCCTAATCACATGTCAAGTAGTTCTAGTGATGCGGGAAGCGATGTTACCATAAGACTTAGACACCATCACTCTACATCAGCAGAAAGTATCAGAAAAGTATTCCAAAACCTAAACATCAACACAAGATCGCAAAGCTGCAATAACACCAAAGAAGTTAAAAGGAAATCAAACAAAAAACCTCAACCTAAAAGGATACTCAGGGCTCCTGTTTCCTACACATACGTGAAAGGTTTGTCCGGACTATCCACAAAAATTCCCAAAAACCAAGTATACACCATGAGCAACGCCTGTGGATGTAGTATGCAGTATATGGCAGGATTACATAGATAAATAAAGCTTAATTGTTAAATGTAGATATCCAGCAATATATTGCATTATGGACTCCTAAAATCAAGACTGTAAGCGAGCGATATTAATTCATCATTTGATATCGTTCGCAATTTATAAATTAAGACTCGTATAATATAAACTTTTTTATAACATTGCTGTATTGTGTACTTAAATATAAAACAATGTATACTTTTATAAAGGGACTCAATATTGTTATTAAAATATATAGATTTGAGTGAATTTAAAATTTAAAATCACACTTATAAAACTAAAAGCTATTTAATTTATTGGTATAGTTTCACATAATAATTATTTCAGTACGCATATGTAGTACAGATGCACCAACTGTTCACTTGACATAATTAGTATGTAATTGTACTATAAATTCTCAATCTTAAAAAAATATAATACTACAATTTTACAATTTACTACTGTTTATTATAAACGCACTGATAATATGTATAAAATTTCGTTTTAGCGCCCTAAATAAATAATACTAGAATATATATGTCTTTTATTTCCACAATAATAATCCAATTATTGATACTTGACCATTAAGAAAATTAGGTAATAAAATATATTATTATTTGATAATTAGCTAATACAAGCTAATACTTATAATTGATATATAATGAATGAATTTAATATCCCCAAACTTTAATAGTTTTATAATTATCATTATAAGGACTAATTAAGGTTTTTAACTTGACCACATTTTTCTGTGTTCATACGGATATGTTTATATATACAGTTAAGTATTTAAAAGTTTTGAGTTCAGGAACATTAAATACACAGGGTGTCCCAAAAGACGAAAATAACTTTAAATGTGTATGATCTACAGACCCCCAAGAATCACAGTAAAATTGGTAAAAAAGCATTACTTAAAAATATACTGGGTATACATGGTAATATTATTAATAAAGGTCCAGTTAAATTCTTAATATTCATGAATACAAACAATATTAAAAATTGTCAAAATTATTTATTTTATGCCAGAAACTAATAAAACCATAGACATTACATTAACAAACACATAGGGGGCAAAATACTTAGTGAACCTGCCTAAAAACCCGATTCCCGATTTCGATCAAATAATCATTGACTAAAAAGTTTTGTGCTTACGGCCTTTATAATAACAATAATTGTTATTAATGGTTTAACGTTTAAAATTATAAATATAATTCAATCGCGTTTATAATATAATAATTATAGGGAGAAATATATTTTTTGAATCGTTGATACAATCCTTTTGATTAAAAAAAAACATCCTGCAAAGTCTAAAGAATTATGGACCATAACTAAAATTCTAATAAAAAATACGTTTTCGTAGCGTTTGATCCCAAAATTTGCTAAAACTGTAGAATAAATTTTGTATCATAATATGATATATTATATTAGTGTTTTTAAGAAACAGAAGGGGCATATTAATTTTGAATTTTAACTGACACACATTTTCTATGGTTTTATATATTAACGAATAACAATTAATTAAGCAATTAATTGTTATGCGTATTGTAAACGTAATCCTAAAATGCATTTTCTCATGAGATAAAACATTATTTCCTAATAAAACCATTGTTTAAATATTATGCACTTTGACCTAATATATATAATAAGACTTTAAACAATATAAACAAGGTAAACCGAATATTTTTAAGTCAAAAAACTTAATGTGTACGCTTTCAAGGTATTTTTTTATAATATAATAATATTAATAATCTTTATTCATGTTAATATGTACAGTTACATTTACACAAGTCAAGGAAAAGTTACAAATTAAAAAAAATTTTATATGTTAAAAGAAATTATACAATACAAAAATTTAAAATTTAAGGTAGGACATATACATCAAATATTTGATCATAGATCTAAAATAATAACATTATGCAGGGAAAAAAAACAAGTAATAATTTTAATATTAAAATTTACAAAGACAGGTCACATGTTAAAAATTCGTTTAAACAATAAAACGCTTTAGTCAGTAAAAGTTTCTTAAGACGTGCTTTAAATTGTTTTAGGGGTAACTTTTTTATTTCATTCGGAAGTCTATTATAGAAATTAGGAGCAAAGTAATTTGACGCATCCCTAGATCTATTTATCCTATGAAATTCAATATGGATATTATTCCTACTTCTTGTTTGATAATGGTGTATGTTGTTTTGTGTAGTATAAATATTGATATTTGATTTTACATATACCAAGGCATTTAATAAATATTGACAAGGGACAGTTAAAACGTTTAAATCTTTAAACGATTGACGACAATCAGCTCTATAATTTAGATTACAAATAATTCTTATTACCCTCCTTTGAATCGAGAATACCTCAGCAGCTCTAGGAGAGTGACCCCAGATTAGAATGCCATAGGACAAAATGGAGTGAACTGGTCCAAAGTATGCATTCACTAGAGTACCCTGAGAAACAGATTCCCTTAGTTTTCTAAAGAGAAACATTTTTTTTGGACAAGGTTTTACAGACCGACTCAATATGTGTTGCAAAGGAAAGCCTTGAATCAAGGTGAATCCCCAAGAATTTAACACTATTTTGTTCAATCTTGCAGTGATTTTTTAGGGTAAATGTAATTTTGACAGTTTTATCCGAGTTAAGACAAAGCTTATTTGCCCTAAACCACGATTCAACATCCAGCCGCGCACCCATGATATCCTCTTCAAGAACCTCAAAATTTTTACCTCCTCTACTTAATGTCGTGTCATCAGCAAACAAGACAAAATTGGTACTAGCTGAAGCTTTAGGTAAGTCATTAATGTAAATTAAGAATAATACAGGTCCAAGTATCGAACCTTGTGGTACTCCATATTTTATTTTTTTGGTCTCAGACATATTGTTGTTGTGACTAACATATTGGTATCTATTACTTAAGTAGGATTTTATCAATAATATGCTTTCAGTGCTGAAATTATAATATTTTAGTTTATTGACGAGGATATCATGGGTTACGCAGTCAAATGCCTTACTCAGGTCCAAGAACAGAGAACTTAGATATTCACCCCTCTCAAAGCAACCACTTATTTCACTAATGAGAGTCTGTATTGCCTGTGTCGTAGATTTGTTTTTTCTGAAACCAAACTGATAACTATTAAAGAGGTTATTTTCCTCAAAGTACTCCAGAAGTTGTCGTTTCAAGACTAATTCAAAAATTTTACCAAACACAGGAACAATAGAAATAGGTCTGTAGTTGGTTTTATCATTTTTATCATTTTTTTTATATACGGGTACCACTCTAGAACACTTGAGGCAGTTTGGAAATATATTTTTGTTTATACATGCATTAATTAAATTAGTCAACGGGATAAGAATTTCATACTTTATGCCCTTAACAATTTTAGAGTTTAGATTAAATGCATCCATACTTTTTTTATTTTTTGATTCATTAATTATAGAGCTTACTTCATTAAAAGACACTTGTTTAAAGGTAAAACTATTTAAATCAGAGATATTTAGATTTAAAAACTGAGTAAAATGTATGTTACTGGTTGGTATTTTATTGACTATTTCTTCCGGAGAGTTTATAAAAAAATTGTTAAATTCATCCGAGCTAATTTTATCCGAAGCTACATTAGTATTATTTTTTTGATTAATTAAGCTCCACATAGTTTTTGATTTGTTTACGGAAGTTGAAATAATATTATCAAAGTAACTTATTTTGGTTTGAACAAGTTCCTGTTTGTATCTTTGCTTAAATATTTTGATATCAGTTTTAAATCTATCAGTTGGATTGTTGCTGTAAGCGTCGATCATAAACCTAAGTGTACTACGAAGGTGTGACATATCTCGATTAAACCAAGGTAACTTTGAATCAGATGAAATTGTTTTTTCTACCTCAGGAAAAAAATCTAGTGCTGATTTTGAAATAAAATGAACAAATCTCGTGTTAATATCAATTTGACTATTCACAACAAAATTCCAGTTTACTTCAGATAAAAACATTCTAAAAAAATGTTGATTAAATTGAGAAATGGGCCTATATTTAATACTTTCAGAATTAATTTTCTTTTTAATATTAGCTATCAAACACAAACCCATATGGTCAGATAGGCATGTATCTACTATATTAGACTTCCAATTGTCTATATTTGTAAATATGTTATCTAAATTGTTATTAAGGCGGGTGTTTTGTTTATTTGTAGGTTTGAGATTATATGAGAGAAAGGTGTTTAATAATACTGTAGTTTGTTTGTTATTAGGAATATTAAAATTGACATTAAAATCACCGCAAATAAATAGAGGAATATCTTTGCATGATAATATGTCCAACATTTTAAGTAGTTTATCAATAAATATGTTAAAGCACCCATTAGGTGATCTATAGATAGATATTAGAATGAATTTTTTGTCGACCATTAAAGAGGCAATTTCGAAGTGCAGTTCGTCGCTTAAGTTATTTATTTTATTTAAGGTATTTATTTTTAGATTTTTTTTTCGCATACAGCGCAACTCCTCCATGAATAAGATTAGTTCTACAAAATTTGGAAATGGAAACATAACCATAAGGAACAAGAATATTAAAATCACTGTTATTTAACCAGTGTTCGTTTATAGAAATAAAATCATAGGATTGGTTCTCTAAAAATGCATCCAATTGAATGGATTTATTTTTTAAGGATTGAATATTTATGTGAAAGATTTGTATACTATTTATTTTATTCCAATTTAGTTTGGAGATATTTTGCCTAAAAAATTTCTTGTGCTGTTTGATTTTGGAAAGAAATACCTTTTTATAAGGGTACCTTCAGGCCATATATTTCCATCAAGAATTTGGTTTTTAAATTTATAAGGGGCACATATTTTAAAGGAACTTTTTTTACTGTTTTCATGATTTTGAGTAAGTTTTTCACATTGGGTTTTGCAGATTGTAGCTAAGTGGTCTTCTATTTGTTTCTCAGTGGTCTCTTCATGAAGATTCGTTACGTAAATCCAGGCGTTCTTTTCAACAACTTTAAGAGTGTTAGAGTTGTTTGTCCCCTTAATAAACGCATTGGTTTGTTTATTCTTTTTATGGTTGTTTGTAGGTGTATTATTTTCTTTATTGATATCATCTTTTTTGTCGATGACGTCAGGTTTAAGCGCGATATTTATAGCAGCTGTCATTTCGGATTTTGTAATAATTGGATTTTGTATGTTTGTGTTTGAGTTTTTTGCTTTTGTCTGATTGGTTTTAGAATTTGGTTTAGTGTCAGTAGTTTTTGAGTTTTGAGGCACTAGTGACTTACTTTGTGCTGGGTTTTTATTTTGATCAGTTTTCTCACCAGGAGGGGTTAGTTGTTTTAGAAGATTTATCTGTTCCTTTAAAATAAGAATTTTGTCTTCAAGGCTTAGAATATGCACATCCTTCTGCTTTAATAGTTCTTT